AGGCAGGGTCAGGGTCCCATCCATTTTTAATATTCCTGGTGAACTTTGGACCATCACAAGTGTACGTGAGCCAAGAATGCAGGATGCAAACTAATGTGACTGATAGGCTGCGAGATGAATGGTGATTCAAGTATCAGTGCACAGATGGTTCTGATTTGCTGAGTTTTGTAGCTGCTGCAACTGAAGACATAAAATATCCTTCTAGTCATAAATTAGCTCTTTGGAAGCAAAACCTTGGCACCAGAGCTTTACAACCTTCAATTAGTAGGGAAAGAAGTATTTGAATGACTGTGGTATTGACATCTGTAGGCCTGCATAGTAATCATTCCTAATAGAAGAGAATATCTGTTTGAGGGGGTTTTGCATGGCTAATTAACCACCAGTGAGAATATGTAATTTTTTCATGATCTCCTGATTGTCACCTTTCTCTCATGATACAATTAGATTTTATTGTAGCAAGTGCCTCACGAGCCAATTGTCAGCACTATTTACGTATTGTGGAAGGCAGAACAAAAGTTCATGTTTAATGAAAAGGTACTGGGTTTTGATCTTGGTAATTACAGATACTTACTTTAGCACTTTTATTGACTTTTCTGGTTTTACCCCCTTTTTTCTTTTAACAAAACCAAAAGCTATTTTGGTGACTGGACTAGTGTGGCTGTGATGGTGACCACTGTGCCCCCACTCATTTGAGAAGTTCTTTTAAGTTTGCACTGTTTTGTGAACTGACTCTGAGCATCAGGTAGCTGTTAACTGATCTCCAGCTGATCGTGCTGGATCTCTGTTTCACAGCAGTCTTTGATTTCTCAGAGTCAGACACTAAATAGTAAATCTGTTTCCTTCTTAAGCCTGGACAAAAGCTCGACAGTCTGTAGCATAAAAGATGATTCCAACCTTGCAGGCTGCAGGAGCTGCTGCAGCACTGGATATTTGCAGGTCACACCCCCCCTGGAAAATCCCTGGCTGAGGAGTGAATGGTTGTCACCATTCCTGTGCTGCAGGACTCAGTGGGATTGGGTGTGATGGCCAGGAACAGGATCAGGGGAATGCTTGGGTGTTACTAAATCTTGGCACCTGTCAGCACTTTCTCAGGGAAATCTGTAATGCTGAGTGTCTCACTGCTTGGAGCAGTGAGAACACCAGGATCACCTGTGTATGACTGCAGCCTGCTCCTTCAGCCAGTTCTGCTGCTGACACGAGCCAGTTTCCTCTAGGCACTCGCTGCTAAACAGCTGCAGAAAGGCAATTTTAGGTTATCCAAAGGATTTAAGGAGTACTTAAATACAAGTAGAGAGGGCAGGTAACTGAATTCTCTTGAAATTTATTGCTATTTTCAGCAAATGCAATGTTTCAGTGGCCTGGTGCCCTTGGTGCTGCAACCCTGCCAGTGCTGGGTGACAGGCAGCTCTTCCCAAAGCATCTCTTCATGGCACTGCCTGGAGTCATCCTAGGCCTGACTCTTTTCATCTCAGTGTTCCCTTTCCCTCTCTCCTTTTCTTCACCAAACACTTCTTCCATTGAAGAGAGAACCTTGGAACAGTGGGAGCCACTGCAAACAGGCCTCTGTCTCCTCACTTGTTGCTTGTGAGCAGGATCTGACTGCAGCTGATCTGATTCCTTCTGTACCACTTTGGTGCACAGGAAATGAGGAGATTTGGGGTTAATTCCCCTCCGAAGAGCCATGAACACCTGTCCCAGAGGCTCCTGTAGCATCAGCTCCTTGATGATTTGAAGGGGCTTGCATGGATTTTAGGATATTGCTCCTGTGTAGAATCTGAGTCTAATCTTGAGGTGCCATAAGAATTGTAGCAGTGGCTATATCCTGATTCTTGGTTCCAATGGCACACCAAAGATAGGTGATAAAATATTATTTGCATTAATTCCCATATTTGTTTACCACGTTTTTTGTCTCTGGATAAATATTTTCAGCTTTTCCTCTTACAGTGAAAGTGCTGATGTTAGGAAAGTGGGGTGAAAGTGGGTGGAAAGCCAGGTTACTGCTTGCTTGATCTTGTAGAAATCAGACTAAAAAACAATTGCATTAATACCAACTTGTAATTTCATTAGGATGAAATATGGTCATTTTCAGATGTAAATCCACTTATTTTCACTTCTGGAATTTTTAAGTGAAAACTTGGTTTTGCTGTAAGTCCTGTTTGGAAAGTGATGCAGTTGTTTAAGATGTGTATATATGGTGAAGATCATTCTTTTTCTGTATGAATCTGGGCCTTTTTTCACCGTACAAAATGCTTACTGTGCACCCCAGGTTCGCCTCCCAAAGCCTCCAGCAAAAGCAGCTCAGCAGAAGGGAAAAAAGCCACAAGGTGAAGAAGCTGCCTATCAAAACCAAGGCACACAGCTCCTGGAAGAAGGAAAGCCAAGCACACGGAGCAGGAGGCGTCCCCAGGCAGAGCTGCAGCAGGTGAGGATCTGGGGGTGGCAGCAGCACCCAGCTCTCCCTGCTCATTAGCTCCATGTCCATCTCGTGGGGTGGGTGAGGAGGAACAGGGCTGGAAAAGAGCCACAGGCTCTGTCACAGACTCCAGGAGCTGGCAGATCCTTGCTGCCTTCCAGTATTCCAAAGAGGAACCTGAGTCTCTGGCAGCCCAGGGCATAAGTGCCAGGAGGGCAGTGCCTGAGCTGCCCCAAGCCTGGCACCTCCAAGTGCTGGACAGGACCTGGGCTAACTCTGAACTCACTGAATTCCTTTCAGCACACACAGTTACTGTCTGTACCTCAGTGGGCTCCCTTGGCCAGGCCTTCCCTAAAGCCAGAGCAGCAGAAGGAAGACATGGGGCAAGAGGAGCAATCCAGCTACCTGAGCAGGCCCCAGACCCGGGGAACACGCCGGCAGCTCCACGTGGAAGAGAAACCACTTCCATTTTACACTACACAGCAGGAGCCTGAGCACCCAAAAAAGGTGAGGGGTTTGGTGTTACATACAGCAGTGCTTGAGAAGGAAAGATCAGCTTTTCTAAAAACAAGAGTTCCAAAAGCCCCTTGAGGGCTCAACTACATGTACACAAACTCTGTTTGCCACGAACACTAAAGGTTTGTGGGCAATTGCCTGTATGCACTATTGGCCAGCTACCACTGCAGTTTGTGTAGCTGCAGAGCAAAGCCCTGCACAAGGATGCAAATTGTTATTTCCCAACTCTTCTGTCTCCCTTTGTGGACCCTGTTGTTTGCTTGGTGGAAACTTGGTTCAGTAGTTTCCTTCTGTGTGTAGTGGAAAACTTCATAGCACTCATTACTTAAGTCTTTAAATTCTGAGTTTTACTTCAGAGGATTTTAGCAGTTAACAACCTCACCTTGAATATTATTGTTTATTTAGTGCATAAAAGGGCTGAATGAATAGTTTCAGTCTTACTCTTCAATCATACAGGGAAAAAAGGCAAAAAATGAATCAGTTTTAGTACAAATAATACAGCACCACATCCATCTCAGTGTGCTTCTGTTCTCTGGAGCTCTGGTGATTTTAGTGAGTGGATTCCACCCTGGTTTCCTACCATGTAAACAAATAACTTGGTTAAATGAGGACAGCTTCTAATGAGCACAAAAATGCAACTTTAAAGGTAGCTTTATGATTAATCCAAAATTCTTTGCTTCAAGCAGTCTGACCATCACTGCCTGGAGACTCCGGTACAAGCTGGGAGAGGGAAGCAGCAAAAGCACAGCTGTACCTGAGAGCACCAGGCAGGACAGTGGTGAGCAGAACCATCCTGGGAGATGTTTTGGCTGCCAGCAGGGGAGATGGTGTCTGACAAGTCAAACACAACTTTGAAATAGGAAAACATTCCACTGTTACTTCCTAGTCCTCAAATGTAAAGTTTTTGCAGAAAAGGGACCAAGCACTGGGCTGGTGGTTAGATGATATTTGTGTTTGGATTTAGTTTTTCTAATGGAAATGCTGCTATTCCAATAGGATTAAATGTGCTGTTTCTTTGTAGAACCATTCTGCATAATAGGGGGCACGTTAAATGGGTGTCAGATAACATTTAAGCCAGCCAAATGAGAAAGTGGAGAAGGAAAAAAGGGAGGATTCTCTTAGCTTCATTTTGCAGAATTCCTCTCACTGATTCAGGAGATTGGTAATGGAAAGCTCTGTAGGAAACCAGAGCTGTCCCTAGCACTAAGGGACAGTTGAAAAGAGTCTTGGCTAAGAGAAAAGTGGGATTGTGGTGTTTGGGGATCCCTTTCAGAGGTGGAGGACAATGCTGGCCAAGGACAGAGTTGCTGCTGTAGATGTAGAACAGCCCTGGCACCCCTGGCCAGCCACACAAGCCCCACTCTACAAGTTTACGTTCCTTGTGATGGGCAGAAGTTTGACTTCACTGTGAAATGAAAAATTTACACAAATCAAACCAGCACCTTCACCTTTTAAAATCATGTCTTCAGTTTCCAGGATAAATCTTTATTACACAGGAGAGACTGACTCTATTAAACATTTCTGGACACAAGTCAAAGATAAAGAAGAATTTCAGCTGTAGAGTTCAATAGTAAATATGGATATGTCTCTTTAGGAGGTGTTTAACCATGCCTTATGTTACACACTTACCATACAATATCCATACAAGTATCAATTCCAGAGGTAAGACTCTGTAAGGATTGCAATGCGTTCGCTAGGATAACCTAAATACCTCAATGGCATCTCTGATTTTCTGATTCACATCTCACTTCATATTAGCTTTATAATCACAGCTATTTTTCCCCTGCAGGAAGACACTGCAAGAGAGCTGCCACCATTTGACCCCTACAGAATACTCTCAGAATCCCGAAAGGAACACTATCACCTTGTAACTCCAGCTCCTGCAGCAGCATCCCAGCCTGGTGCTGACACCACTCATCCCTCTCTCTCTGCTGTGTTTAAGCTTGCATTTGCTGATCAAACCTACCCCTACACTGCAGCTGTTCTGGTGCTTCTGGTGCTCATTGTCCTGTCCTTGTATCTGCTTTGATGTTGCTGTTCCTGTGTCTTCAGTGGGAGTGCAGTGGCGCTCCCACAATGCAGCTTTTAGAGTTTCTTCATTGAAGATTTTAGTGTCAGGGGCTTGAAAAAGAAGTTTTTAAATAATCCTGTCAGTACATGTCTTGTACAGGCAAGTTCTCATCTGCACTCAATAGTTATGGATTCTCTGAACTATTTGTGTTGGCTTCTATTTTAAATGTTGAGATTTTTTTTTTTGTTTGTAACTGAACCTTTTGTTACGACATTAAAAAAGTATTAAATACAATGGAGTATGGTCTTTAATTACTCTGGCATTAGTGTGGGGCTGTCTTTATACTGTGTCAGAAAACTTTCAGTTAAGCATTGATGCATTTGCCTTTCCTACTCTAGTTCATTCCTACTCCTTGGCTTTCCTTACCTTATTACAATAGGGACATTCACCAAAGATGACATTAAAGCTCTGTCTGCTGGTAGGAAGTCCTTGTAGCCACTGCAACACAAGAAGTGGGTTAAAAGTCACATTGGTTTCATCTCCAATTTAAGAAACATCTATTAATTACCAGAGTTCAGCTGATGAACATGCCAAGTCAGCCTGTGGTTTCCTTTGCCAGAGAGCTCACGTAGGAATTGTGGGGTGACAGGACACACGACTGCCACAATGTTCCTCATGGGCTCTTGCTTAATGCAGAATGTAAGTGACAGTGCTTGTTGTGCAGAAGGTGCCAGCAGCTGCTGGCAGCTGTGCCCCATGTCCCTTTACCTCATAGAGACAGGCCTGGTGGAAGGGCTGCCCGCAGCGGGGATCGTCGCACACGTGGTCGGGCGCGCTGCCCTCCAGCCGGTAGGCGTAGCAGATCCCACAGTCCTTGGCAAAGTCCTGCAACAACAGCACGGCTGAAAGGCAGGCTGGGCTGCCCACACACAAACAGCTTCACCTGTGGTTTTGCTCTGGCAGTTTTTGTTGGCTGGAATTACTGGTTTTTTGCCTTTAAGACATCCATGTTTATGTCACAATGGCTTAGAGTGACACTGGGTTCCAGGTATGCAAGACTTGACTGGGTTATATTTCATCCCTTACTGAATTACATCTCATTCAACAAGCATTTTCATACCTTTGGGCACTTTTTGTTTATTAACCACTCTGATTTGTCATTAGACACAGATCAGATCTTAATTTAGAAGCTTCCTGAGTGAAAGCAAAGCTCGTAATCCAGTGTTAAAGCATTGTCAGAAATTAGTTCCCAGTTTGTTTGAAATGCACCAGTATTTGGATGGCCTCTTGTCCCCTCTAAGCAGCTCCACCTAATTAGAACTGAAGTCATCAACATCCATAACAGAATGCTTGGATTTTCCACATCTCATTAGCCACTGTGGAACATCCTCTTTTCCTTTTAATAGTGGAGCCTGTTATGAATGCCCTCACTGCTATGAAGGCCACAGGGAAGTGTGCACCTCTAATCAAAGGTTAACAAGCTCTGACAACTGTTGCTTGAAGTTCAGAAGTCCTTGTGACAATGAATTAATCCAATTACCTCTCAAAAGTCCCTGATTGTCCCTGGCTCTTAGAAAGTGACCATTTAAATGTGACTTATTCAGCAATAACGACTGATCATTAACCAAAACCAACTTACGCTTTTTTCCAACACAGCACGAGATGGAAACTCAATTCCTAGGAGCTCTCTCAAGTTCTGTAACAAACTGACATCTGGGTCCCTGTGGGTAGGAGAGGGGAGAGAAAAACCCGCGTGAGGAATGGCAACACCACTTGGGTTTCCAGCCTGCTCTACCAGGGACACTCACCACAAGTGCATGTTGTTGTTGAGTTTGGTTCTCAGGGGGTTCACTTCTGCAAACAGACAGGAATAATGGCATCACCCCAGTGAGCCTCCCAGGCTCCAGGTGGGGATTGGGCTCAGAGATCTGAGTCCAGAGGAGAAACCAGTGGAATTTGATGCCTTACCATGATCTGCCCCAAGGAAATAACACTCTGGAAGCATGTTTGGATGGCGAGGATCAACCTCTATGTTCACTGAGACATTGTTCCCTGCGAGGAGAAAGAAAGGCCATGGGGAAGCTTTGCAGTCAAGGATTTGAAAAGGGAACCATTTTTAAAGGCAGTTTTAAATTGGTTAACTCAGGCTGGGTTTTGTTAGGATAAATAATAACAAAGTTGGGAGGTGTCCAAATGACTGTACAAAATATCAGTATATAGCAAATACTTAATTTCCACAAACTGTAATTAAAAGTAGCAACTGATTAATTAAACCTGACAGGCTTGTGTTTCTTTCTTTTAGACTTGGCTTAACCTTTACACTTACTCAGAAAGAAACATAATCAACCCAAGCTAGATGACAACATCCATCCAAAATCTTGGTGAAAATTTAAAGGTAGAGACATGTAACTCACTAATTCATTTTTATCTTTTATAGTCAAAAAGAGAAGCCCAAACCCAACATTAAGCAGCAGAAGTCAGTCCCCTCCCCAGCAAATTCCAGGACTGAGACAACAAAGCTGTATTTTTGAAACAGCAAATATTTGGCTTTACAAGATCCCCCAGCATCCCTGGAAGGGGATGTTCCTCAGAGGGAAGCAGCTCCAAAACATCACAGCAGAGTCTCCTCTGAACAAGCCCAGGTAAAACCCAACCTTTTCTGTAATTAAAGCTGTGTTAAGCTCTCATCCTGGAAGAGGTGGGAATGAATGAAATCAAAGTTCAGTGGCAGCTGAAGGTTCTCTGTGCCTGACAACAAAGGGCTCAAAGCCCTGTCCCTCCTCTGCTCAGCTGCTCCAAGGCACTTTTCGAGGCTTTTCTTCCCTTTTCCTTGGCCTGTGGCAAAGGGCAGCAGGACCAGGACAAAGCCCCCCTGCCTGCACACAAAGTGGTGCCTGCCCCACACCATTCCAGCCACTTGCTGAACTTTTCCTGTCCTTCCCTCCAGCTCCTTCCTCCCTCCCTCTACAGCTGTCAGGGACAACGTGGGTCCACTCTGTATTCTCACATTTCAATTTGCTATTGGTGATGTGGATTTTGTATAATTATAAAATTCCTTATCCTATGTATGTTAAGACCTTAAAATGCCAGACATCAGGATATAAACTGAAGTACATTTTACAACTGAGGTCTTGACAGGGAAGCCTCATTTCTTTTTATTTCTGTCCTTTCCCTTTGCCTCCTTTAACTCTCTTTTTCCCCTTGGGCTGCACTCTAAAATTCCTTCCACTCCAGGACAGGATGAATCTAAAGTTTAAAACTCTGGAATATGTGACTGAGGTAAGGGCTTCACCTAAGCTGTTTTTTTACAAATACTGATTTTTCTAAGGTTAACATGTAAGTGCTCAGCTTGACAGTTCCATGTTCTTAATTCACAAATACACAACGTTTTCCTGCAGAAATTTTCCTTTATCTGACACCAGAAAGTTGTAATGATTTTCCCAAACAGAATCAGCATTTTGTTATAGAAAGTTATTTTTTTAATATGCAAAAGAGGAGTTCTATCTTTTGTTTTAAGTGCTACTTTTCCTTTCCCAAACCCAAAGAAGCACCATCTGATGAGACAAGCAAAACAAACCAGCTCCCTGAGTTTTACTTCTCAAATCCACTGTATCCCTTTAAATCTTTTCCTACCTATTGCAATTCTCCTGGTTGTAGCGCTCCGTGTGGGATTTTCTGGCTCCAGCACCCACGTCTTCCCATCGATTTCATCAAGGGCATCCCAGAATTCCTTCAGGGACTCCAGTGCTGCCAGGAACTGGTTGTAAATGTCTATTAAGGAGTTCTAAGAAAACAAGAAATTTAAAGAGATTTCACTGAGTTTCCACCAGCAGCCTGAGAGTGTATTTTAAAACCAATTTATTCATTTAAGGAGTGTTGAAATCCATGTGTGTGTCTCAGTGTATTGTGATAGCATAAAACATGGAATATCACCTAACAACCTGATCATTATCTCAAAATTAAGCAGTACAAAAACAGGTGCTTAAGATCAGCTTTCAAACCCTGTAAATAAGGCACAAAAAGGAGAAACCATCTAATAAGCAGAGGATTACACGTGGGGGATTTCAATATTTGAGAGTGGATTACATGGAATCAGAAATATCTTTCATTAGACAGGACAATATATAGGATAACAATGCTAAAGAAATCTTTTGAAATTATCAGTGGGCAAAAAGAAGTCACCATTTCCCCAGGAAAAGACTTCTGCAAGAAGAGAAAACACTTGGTGGTCAAGGGAATCCTTTGCAGGTGCAGATGCCCATTGAGGGACAGATGTCAAATATTTTGAGGTTCAAAAGAAAAAGCAAATTAAACATTATTTTCTCAGGCAGGTATTTTTCTATGAATTAAACAAAATACAGAAAGAATGGTTTCCTTTAATCTGTAGTGATTATATTCTCCTTTCTCACCTGGACAAAGAGCATCAAATTATCTGAGTGTTCTCAGATGAAGAAATAGAATTTTTCTACATAATAACTTTTTATATTTTGTGCATGTGTATTTTAGAAAGAAACGGCGTAGCTTGGAAATAAAATGCTACATTTTTTCCTGCTGTTGTTAAATTATATTAAAGTAGGAAAGCACCTAAGCAGAGAAGTGTGAATTCTGCCTATCTCAAAATGTAACGCTTATTATCTTTAAAAGCATTTTGTTACTTTTATAATACCTGAAGTGATATAATAGTGTCAGTCACTTAACCACATCTTAGAGTATAGTATCTTCATCTTAAGTACTATTATTTCCAGTATTTTAATAATTTTCACACAGTCCTGAAATGTGATCTTTTGTGCTCTGATGACACTTAAATTAATAGCATAATTTTCTGGTACTTGCAACAGTTGCTTTCCATTTTGATTTTTTACATTTTTCTATATCACATACAGATAAATCCTCTAATAATCATTTTTATCTTTATCTTCTGGGAATTCAAAGGGTTTCACTAGAAAAAAGAAACATCAAGGGATTATAACCCACAGATAAGTTTTAAAATCCAATTAATTTTAATACTAATTGTAATTTTTCAATGATGTTCCTTAAAAAGGTAGTTAAATCTTTTTCTTTTTTTTTCTACACTGTTCATTTGATCTTATTTGCATGCTTCACTGATGTTGCCAGCTGTCTCCTGCTCTATACATAAATGCATCTATAGCTATTTAAATACATCACCTGCTTGTCATGCAAACCATGAAAACTCTAAGATTCCTTTTTATCTGATTACCAACTAATTTTTGGTCACTGCCCAGCATTTTTAGAACAGCCTGAGATCACACTTTTCTTTGGTCTAAATTACACCAAGACCATTGTTAATAATGTCAAACAGCACAACTCTGTTTGCTGGCCCCCCTTGTACAATTGTATTAGAATTTGTGAGAAATATGTCAAAATTCCTTAGAAAACAAGACATTTCTCATTCAGGCTGTCAGTGCTGCTCATTCTCTCTCACAAAGCCAAACTGGTTCATCCATCCTCCATAAACACCCCGGCTTTGGTGGGTCCCAGGAACTGTGACCCCAATGTCACCTCTGTTATCAGATCCATGGATCCCACATCCACTCCCACCACTGACTTTGTCCAGGGAAAATCAGATACTCTGGACCTCCAAGGGGAATACACCTTCTCTTTTACCAGGAAAGGATGATGAGCTTTCTCAACCTCTTTATTTCCATTTCTGTCCTCTGCACTCTCATCTCCCCCTCAGCACCAGGACCTCCTCATGCCAATTCCCTTCTTCCTTCAATTCAAACATTCTCCCAAGCCCACCCTTACTGCCTATACACCATTCCCTCCAATCTAAGGAATAAGAAAAAATGGGAAAAAAATCTCCCTCTACTCTTGGTTCTTATTTCTAGAGCCACAGAGGCTGGGAAGAATAAAGACAAAATCTCGAGTCTGTGCCTGCCAAAAAACCAATGAAGCCTTTCAGGAACTTCTAAGAAGTGCTGTAACCTATATGGCTGTTCTGCCAAATTTCAAGCATCTGCTCCAAATCCTGGATGAACTAAATAGTCATCAAATGGTAGTAAAAAAAGTTCCAATTAAGATAAATACAGAACAACTGATTGCAACTTATTTTTCAAAAACAGATAAAAATGTAATCTTTATTTTGATATTTTTTGGCTAAAATTCTTCCTAAGAGAAAATTTGCTTATCCAAAATTAAAACAACTGCAAAGCCCCCAATAAGAAAGGTGAAATAGCCTAAACTATAGGTACCATTACCTTTTTGCCCTTCATGAATTAATAAATCAAATACAATTTAATAAAGCAAACAGTCATTAAATGGAAAAGGGACCACCTAAAGAATTTATGATTCCTTAGATTTGTTTGGAAACGGTTCCTCATCTACAGCATTTAACAATTTCCCCTCTCTTTAACAGAAATCAAGCCAAGACACAAGCCTGAAATCTTTATAAAGTGTCTTGTCAACCATCTCCATTTTCTGCATTTACAGCTGGTGCCTATGAAGTTCCTTTGCCAAGAAAAAGCACAATTAAGATGCTTTTTATTGTGTTTTCATCTAAATAACCCACGAATAATCTCATTCCCAGCACTCCACCTTCTGCACCTTGCATTCCTGTTTCCTTGCTGGCTGCTGCACGACCTCATTAGTCATTAATTTCCACTCCCATGACCTTCATGTAGCCAGCCAGGTGGGCAGTGGTCAGTCTGGAAACCTCACCCTGACAGGAGACACCCTGATTCCGCAGAACTGCGCCTCCAGCGCGTGCTAAAACTGGAGACAGCACATTTATCTGCTTCCTTAGAAAAAGGCTATAACAGAAATAAGTAGATGTTCTTGCACTTGTCATTGAGAAGCACTCTGCATTTATTTGGCACTTAGAGCAGGAGCAGCAGCAGCAGCATTGCCCTTGGTGCTGATTTCTTACTACTCTAAAACGTCTCCTCTGAGCCAGAATCCACTGGCTGTTGCTGCTCATGCTGTGAGACACCTGCACTGGCTACTGGGCTTGTCATGACGCACAAAACCCCACCATCTTCAGCTTGACATTGTGCAAGTTATAATTATTCATCCAAATGAATATGTCAGAGCAGCAGCAGCAGACCTCTCATCAGAGCAAAAGAAAAATACATCAAAACATTATCAACCCAGCAGGAAGACAGGGACCATAAGGAAAATTACCCATTTTTAATATGGATGCCATAAAGCCATGTCTATTATTATACGGAAGGGGAAAAAAAAAAATAAGAAAAAAAGCCCCAACAACCCCTCAAGTTTAAAATCCATGAGCCTGAAATAGGCAGCAGCACACACAGGGGGTGGGAAAGAAAAATCAATTACCTGCAATCTATTTATATTTTCTTTCATAGGAGTTTATATTCTAATGGTGCCATTGCACCAATTTAGTTAAGCCTTGGCAATTTATACTTTAAAGGTGTAATATTAAAAGTTTAAGACCAATTGCTACCAAAACACCACGTTATTTCACTAGAGAAGGGGTGTAGCCTGTTCTTTTTTCCTTTTAGGAACCAAAATTTTCATGCACTTGAATACCTGCTGAATTCTGCTGCCAGTGGTGTTGCAGCATTATCTAAGCTTAACCCATATTTTATCACGGTGTGAGGGCTGCTCGCCACAGTGATTCCCACACATTTGGAAAATAAACACAATTTACACAATTACCAAAGCCATTTGTCCCCACAAGTGTTAGGTTCATGTCACCCCCACACAAAAGGTCAATTTGCAAAAGCTGCTGTACAGCTGAAGCATTTCTGTCTGCTGGTATTTGGTTCAGGATTAGAGCAGGCTTTTTGCAGCTGGAATTAGTGTCTCATGATTTCAGAACAGGCTCTTCCCTTACACACAAACACCTTTTGTTCATGTTCTCAAATAGTCCCCAGGTAATTCTAACTGGAAGAAGATTTTAAGCATCAGAGAGTTGTATTTTTAAGAGAGGATTTTTCCTTGGCTGTAGTGCCAGTATCAGTATATCCACCCCCATTTTTAACTTGTCAAAGGCTGCTCCATGTCAGGATTTTCCAGAACATTTTATTAAAACACAAGTCCATCTTTAAAATTACTAACAGTAAACACAGAGAAGCAGTCACTGTCAGGGATGCTTGAAATGTTGTTAATTTCAGGCAACATAAATTGCAAGGCTGTAAATTAATAAAACACTGTTCAAAATATGTATTAAGTTTGAGGTTAAAAACAGCACTTGAAATCCTGGCCAGAGTGTAGGGACTCCAGTAAAATTCAAGGGAAAACATTTATTTAAACTGCTCCAAACCATATCAGAGAATCAAAACTAAACTTACATAAATAAATACATTTGTCATTTGCAGTGGTTGATCATTGCAGTTATTTCCTCTCAATATTAGTGGGTCTGAGGTAACACACAGAACCTTGAGTTCTGCAGAAAAATTACATGCCCAGCTTAAATTCATCCTGCTGCAACCTCCCAGCCATGTTCCCCATGTAAGTTGTTATTTATTGCTGGGTAGAAACCCTTGTGAGAGTTAAAATTACAGGTGCAATCATTTATGTAAAAACTATTTTCTCAATTTAATGAAATATCAATTATTTTCCATATTCAAATTAGCTTGTATCTGAGCAGTGACATTTAAATTCATTTAGTAAAGCACACATGCACTATTCAGGAAGAAAGGTACATGAAATAATGTGAAACACCCACAAAAGACAGTGTGGTTCTTCATAGCAGCAATATCAGTTAAACTAAGAAATTAGAATTTCATTAAATACTTTCCTAGATTGATTATAACTGGAAAGGTTTTATTAAGTTATGAAAGCTCTATAGGATAACAAACTGGGGAAAACTCTATAGGACAACCAACTCCTCTTTTCAACATCTGTCAGCTTTAGAGGGTGTTTCTTTTCTAGAAACAATAATTTTTTCTACATTTCACTTTCTTTGCACTTTCCCACCATAATTCCTAGAGAATTTTCTGTCATATGAACAGCTTAAAAAAACCCCAACCAGTACATACAGCATGCAAGATAAGTCTCATGGCAAGGAAGATATTTACTGTGACAAGGAATATGGAATTCATTGCTATTACATTTTCATGAGCATGTACAGAAATAAAATGCACACAGGGAGAAAAGCTGGAGTTAAAAACCAAAGCCAACCCCTTGTTACCACCCCTCCATTGCATATGTATTTTTATTTTAAAAAGCTGCCTAGTCCAGCAGTTACCTGTGGCATCCAGGAAACAGCAAATGGAACAGGAAAATCCACGAGGCAATCTGGTGGTTCTGTGGGATACTGAGGGAGGGAAAGAAAATACAGTTTGGGATTTTTTTCTCTTAGTGATTTAAAGTCAGACTGATATTCAGCTGCCAAATTTGATAACAAAATATGAGCACTTCAAGCATCTTGAGAACTTGGCTCTGAGAGGAAACAGTATGTAAAGCATTTTCAGGAATAATTATGAATGTTAATTATCATTTAAAGAAGAAAGTCACATGTAAATGTTTTATATATCAGTATTTAGTAAAGGCAGGAGAATCCCAATTTTCTGTGCTCAGTGGTCACAAAGGAACATTAAAGAAACCTTAAGAAACAAAGCATGAAATATTTTTTAAAATTTCTCCTCAATTATACATATTAGAAACCAAAGTTTAAAAATCAAACAACCCTTCCATGAGTCAAGAACTAATTTTCATTTAAGCTGAACTATTTGTTATGAATGGTAACATTTTGTTTTTTAAAACTAAAAGTAATGCAGAGTACTCAAGTATTTAAAAAGAAATGAGTGAACACTGACCCAAAATAATAAAAAATCCTCAATCCAAATTAAGAGATAAGAATAAGAAAATTTTTTAAAAGACTGTATTAAAAAAAACCAAAACAAACTATAAAAGTTTTGACAGCTTATTACAGTTACAGTCAAATGTGTGTGTCAGAAATCATCCTTTCTTAGGCCAATTTAAGCAATTATTAAATACAATATTTATGTTGGTTTTCTGAGCATGCAGCTAACTTTATCTAGAGAAAGCATTTTCATAGCCCTTGCCAGATCATTCAGATAATTACCAAAGTGTCTTAATTACTACACATCAGGCAAATCCTTCCAGTGGCCTGTTTGAAGCCTTGGGGTCTGAAATGCTCCTGCACTGATCTTAATCAAAGAAACAGCATAACAGAAATAAACACACTTTTATTAAAGCATCTTATCAAAAGAAATGCCTTCCCAAAAAAGACTTCAGCCAAGTCTCCTCAAATGCAGTGTCTGTGTGTATGAAGGCAAATCAAATCCCCAGGTCACCAGAACAGTATTTCACACACAAATTTTGTCTGGCAAGTTTAAATGCCAGACATGGTTTACAAAGGACAAGAAATTGATCCTTCATCATCAAAAACACTTGAAAACAAAATGAAAAAAATGAAAACAAAAAGGATGATTACTTATTAAAACAGGCAAGTCTGATAATCTAATCTTTTTGTTACATATATATTTAATTGTTACATGGTGTTTTTTCTGCTATGAGGAGCTTTCAGCAATTTTATTACTATCAAACGAGGAATATTCAGCTATTTTATTACTATCAAAAAACCCCCACAAGTTTGCACAAGGACAGAAATTGGGAATCTCCATTCCCTCAGGACACTGCTAAGTTAATGCTGAACAGAACCAGTGCTAGTGTGACCATGGCAGCTGCTTGGGAAAAATGAATATTCCACTTGAATTTTTTTCTGCATTTTTACACTTTCAAACAGTGAAAATACTTTACTTCTGTTGTCCTAAGAGCAAAAAAGCCTCAGGGCAACAGGTTGCACCAAATTTCTAGTGTCACACAAAGCATATTTATCCCTTATAAACAACACAACCTGGTTCCTCTCCTTGCACATTACATAGCCCATAATTGCACTTCCAGATGGATTTTTCCATCAGTGTATTTAATAATGGACTGACTAGCAAATTAATTATGCACTCATTACTCTGCATGGAGGACAGTTCTACTCTTTCTAAAAATCCACTGGAGCAACACTCATTCCCAAACAGTATTTTTTCCCCTACAAAGGTAAAGCTTGTTCATGTTATGGAAGACTAAAAAAATTTTAAAAAACCTCCTGGTTTGTAAAGGAATACAGGATGCCTGTGAAGGTGGGATTCCATCCTACAATACCACGTCCCTTCCTCGTGCTTTCAAGATTATAACTTGAGGTGATGGATCACAGATAGTCCCAAACAAAACATCCAGACACTTTTAGATCCCTTTTTCCCCTGCACTGATTTTCTGAAGACAACAATTATTGCCAGGCAATTGCCACCACACAGCCTGGATATTCACAGTCTCTGGTGGGAGATTTATGCCTTGAAATGAGATATTCTATGAAGAAATGTTGTAATTTGAGTTCAGTGATAAGTACCAGGAAGAATTAAATTTTTTCTGTTTCTGCAAATGCCATGGGTTTGATTTGCAAGTACTGTCAAAATGAGACATTTATTTAGACTAAAAAGAAATAATTTTTCTGACTGACTTCAGTTTTTCATAAATCTTTACATCTCTGACTTTAACAGCAAGACTTGTTAATAACCAACCCAACATCCTCTAATTCTTGTTCTGTGCACAGTCTCTGGATGGAGTGATAATGAAGGAAAGTCTCCCAGATGGCTTTGTCAGTAATCCAGTAAAATGAGTACAGTATCAGAGTGTTTTTCATGTGATGCACAGATGCATCTTACAGATAACCATAATCCAATATTAATTTTAAATATAGCTAGTCTGAAAACTCAAGCAAAAAAAGAAAAAAATTTAACTGACCTATTACTTTGCAGAACAGACACACCAGCAAGCAAACCAACCCTCTAAAATCCTAATGAATTAAGAAAAATCAATATATTGCAAGGAAGCCTCAAGATATCTTGTCCCACATCAATTTACCTTTGCATTTAACTTGAGAGCGATGAGATGCTGCCGACCACAAGAATCTTCAGCTTTTAACTTGACTGTGCTCAGCCCAGTGTCCACATAGGCCACTCTGGAAGAGAGAAGAAAACTCTGAGAGCCCTGCAGTTTGCAATACCCTGATTAGTGTGTTACAAATATTAATCAGAAGGAGCCCTATATGCCAAGCATTTCTCTGCTGCAGATTTACTGCTGTTAATACACCAGGCTGGTGCTTAATGCAGCCATATATCTCAGGGTTATTTACAGAGTGTGTCAGGGCTCACGCTGTGGTCAGTGAGCACCGGGTTGCATTTTCCATCAGCGGAACCTTTGACACACACAGCGTGTTCCTGTCAGCCTCTGCCTATGTACACATTAAACTTCCTGTCAAATCTTTGATCCATTTCTGCAGTTTCTTACTCTATCAGACTTTTATGCTCTTGATTTGCTTTTCTCTTCAATGAAGTTCTATTTTATTATCAATGCTATTATTGTGGGAAATTCGGTGCATATTGGTTCATATTCCAAAATTGATTTTCTGCAGAAAATAGTACCTGAACAGGTACAAAATGAGTTATTTATGATGATTTGCCTTCATTTCATGACAGTTTTACACTGTATTCATGCACCCTAACAAGCAGAAAGTACATACTAAATGTGAAAAAGTTTTAAAACTTCTGACTCTTTGTTTAAGATGTCACTGGTTTGTGTCTCCCACCACAATGAAGATGGATACAATTGTAAAATATATTGTTCTCTACAGGTGGATTTTGCTTAGTGGCATCAACAATTGCCAAAAAGGTTCAAACCTCCCCATATATTTACCAGTAAACTGGGCATGTGGATATTTTGGCATTTTTACTATGTCATTCCTGTGTAAAGATAAAAAGCAGTCCAAGGTAATTGCACAACTTATCACCCAGACTGATGGAAAGGCCTAACAGAGTTCAGAGGGAGCATCTGCTTGCTGGCCTAAGCAACATTTATTTTTTTTAAACCACTACATACTAGAAAAATCACATGGTTCTCTCAAGTGAAGCTGGCAACAGGGTTGTAGAGGCTTGTGGAAGAAAAAGCAGATGGACACTAAACAGTTGCACATCCCTAGGAAGGAAGTGAAAAGAAGAAAATTTTCTACATAAATGAAATAGCCTCAATAGGAGGGAACTGAAAAATACTCATGGAAAAAGCAGTAGTGGTAGTAAGAAGGGAGAGAGAGATTATTTCATGTTTAATGCTGATTAATCCAATATTAAAGAGACCTGCAGATTTCTGGGAGTATTTCTCCACAACAGCTGAAAGAAAAGACAAGTCTTGATAAAAGTGCAATTCAACTGGAGCCAGTTAAACTTTATATACTTGGAAAGAATTAGAGGATTCTTCCTTGAACTGGGGGGGAAAAAATCATTACTCCTGCTTTGTTCCAACTTTACCTCAAAAGTGTATCAGAGTTCTATAAAGATAAGAAACCACCTCTATGCCACCCCTCCATCTGCTGCTTCCTGGGCTGGGGGATTCCTAAAGCAGCAGCTAAGGCCCAGCATGGATACTGCAGTGAAAAACGCAGCAGTGTCCACAGCAAAGCACAACTGCTGCCTGCAAAGAGCCACAGCAAAGGAAAGCAAAAATTAAAGGGATGCTACCAAGGTGTCTGGGATTTTACCTGTTCTGACAATCATCTTGTTTGGACCACTTCAATCTTGATTTATAAGATAAGTATGGATTCTTTTAGTTTAAAGTCACACTTTTTGTATAAACATATAAGGATTTGTGTACATAGGTGATATTTCACTTATACAGACTTTTAGTCCTCTGTAGGCTCTGTCATTTTATCACAGAAAAAAAATTAAAAAAAGGAATAAAAAGAATTAGCATAAAGATGGAAAGCCTTAGGTAAATCTCTGAAGTCCAGCATAACACACAAATGACTGAGAGCACAGGAGCAGGCAGGATTCCCTGGAAATGGAGAAGGCAAGAGCACAACATACTTTGTATGAAATAAATGGGAAAGTATCAGGCATAAGAGCTTTGAGATTTGAGACAACATGGACTTAAGAGATACTGGCAACCTTTTTGAATCCCCATGAGGGTTATAAGAGGTTTTTTATAGTTGATAATTTGCCTTCCACTGCCACTGGCTCAACCAGCTTGATTAAGGGGAAGTATTAGAAGAGCCTGTCCTGTAACTTTACTCCTACAGTAGTATCTCTCTCTCCCCAGTTCAAATCTTTCAATTTTTTTTTTCTCAGTTAGATTTGGTTGCAGTCAGCTTCCAGCATGACCCAAAACTTGCTAGGAATGAGTAAATCTGGGGTACACAACAAACAAGGTTTTTTTCCTAAGAAAAATCCTTAACTAAAGCTCAAGGTGTGAGCAGTGGTTGCTCCTCACTGGCAGCACCAAACACAGGCAGCTCTGCTGAAAGATCACTGCAGGATGTTCTTAACTGCCATGCAAATAAAGCATCACCTACAACTCAACATCAGCCTCAGTTAAGAGGCTTCCTTAGAGAGTCACTTCAGTGCTAAAAGCACTCTGGAATCAAAGGTGTGACTTGCTAATGGACTCCACATGGCCTGTCCAGGTCATTCTCCTTCCAAGCCAGAGTAAACCTGATGTGATTCTCTATGTGCAGCATAGTCCCTTGATCAGGGACTGATTTCCCCAAACCTTCTTCAAGATTTTGGGGTTTGTTTTTTTTTTCCACTGGTGTTTTATTTTTTATCCATTTTGGGAGAGCAAACATAATTGAAAATTTACTTCTCATGGGTTTAGGAAATTTTACCTAATATTCTCAGACTCGAGTCTGTGAAATTTGAGTATGGCACAATCACATATTAGCAATGGCAACCACTGACAAAAGCTTCAGCTGATTTCTCAAGGGTGCTTTCAATCTTTAAATAAAAGTGGGCTTTGAAATTCCCACTTAGTGTTAATCACATGTTGTTTATCTACATAGAAATCAGGTGGGAAAACTCAAAACTCTTCTTACACCTAAGGCTTCTTTATTTCATTTAGCACAAGATACAACTGTTAAAGTTTTGGGTTGAGAGCTTTTCATATTCTCCCCTCCACTCATGAATTTTTGGGGTAGATTTAACTTTCTGTGGAATAAACGATAAATTCCTCTAAGAAGATCCTTGTGCTGAAAGAGCAGGTTCTTTAAAAGTTATTATGCTAATGCAAAAAAAAGTATGAAATGTTTTTATGAAAGCATAAAGGTAAATGATGATCAACCATAGGGTTAGTCACAACCAGCTGTACAAAATAGGGAAAAGAGAACTATAAATATTAACATTAAATATGTTTAATATACCAGTAGTTTATAGGTCAAAGAAGAAATGATTTCTTAGTAGTGTATCACCTTTCAGTTCAGTTATTTGGGACAGAAAACATGCCTAGAGTTGATACAGGTTTGTTGGGTGTTTTTAATTTAAAAACAAAGCAAAATCAGTTTCTGAATAGGGTGAATGAACAGAACAAGTACATTTGATGTGTTCAGCTCACAAATACAAAAGAGCTACAGATATTCTAAAGATGATGTTTGTTAAGAGCTAAAACAATCATACCTATTCCAGCCCAGTATTTCTAGATCTCTGACAAGGCAGGAGTAGTATTCTGGAGGCCTTGGGATGTGCAGGTCTTGTGTGTTCTTTAAAGCAATTTCCTGTTTAAAAGAACATTAAAAACATCATTAAGAGCAATTTCAATATTTTTGCATCTATTTAGCCATGTGATTTTTGCAATTCATTTGGAAATATTAAGCTTATGTAAAATTAACTGTACACTGCATTTGTTTTGTTATAGCCTCCAGCTAAAGCAGACAAAGAAGCTGTTTGGTAAATTACTTCAGATACTGGTAATGAAAACATCTGCAATTTAAAAAAAAACCCACAGATGTTGACAACGGAGTCTTCAGATGCAAATATCAAATGTGCCTCTTTTTCAGCTAATAAATCTGAAGTCAAGCATCTTGACTGAAAGAACATTTCAGAGGAAGGTTCTATTAAGCCCACAGCTGTCTCCTGGGCTCCAATGCCACAAAAGACAACACATCTATGATATTCCCCATATTTTTAATATTTATATATATATATATATACTTTATATAGCAATCAAAAAACAAAATCAGTTTCACAGTTTTAACATCACAGGATCTCTTGGAGTAAGTTTTGGTACAAACACTCATCAAGAATGTAGTAATGTTTCAAAAAGAACTTTTTATCAAAAAGTTAATGCTACTGTGAAAAATAAGCCCTAACCACGTGTATCAGTTGTGTTGTGCTATTTGTTCTTTGAAAGTGCATTTGAGCTAAAATTATGCTTTACAGAACACACATATTTATGACAGTTAGAATTAAATTATTTACAATAATTTAAAATAAAATAAATTTAAATGAAAATATAACTTGTAAGACAAGTTTAACAATCATTCCTGCCCAGGTCTTCTTTACTGTGGTCAGTGTTTTCATTCTCTGCAGTAACCGAGAATCACTATTTTGTTATTTTGAATTAATTATACTTGCACTGCATTTTCATTTTCTGAGTGCTTGTGTACATAGGCAAATAGACTGGAATAACTATTGTAAACCTTTCCAAAACAGACATTCTTATTTAGGCCTATTCCAAGCATAGCAGAGCAGCAGTGTAATGCCAGGAGGAATTTCTGCTGTGGCTTTGAAGAATACTTCCTGTGTTTTATTCCTCAAGTAAATTAGGTTGGATGAAGCATTCATCAGCAAGAATGCTCACAGAATAGTGTTTTACTAATAGATAAGAATTCCCAGTTATATGTTTATTAAAGAGTTTGATACTCTTCAACCCCAGACCTGCAAAACTTTTAAAAGAATAAACAGCAGCCTCTGAAATATTAGGGAAAAAAAAAAAAGCTTTCTGCATTTATTTGTCAAATTGTTAGTGAGGTGAAAGCACCTTCAGCAATCCACTGATTGTAGAGCCCATTGTATAATTACAGGCCTGCTTTACCATCCAGACAATAACAGGAATTCCAAGAACATCACTGTAAAGAGGATGGCTCTACACTGAGATCCCTTGCTGGGATTTTAAATTTTTTATAGCACTCCAACTTCTAAAGAATAAAGTCACTTAAATCCTAAAGGATATTTATACAGCTATTACACAAAGAGCATATACACAAAATCACCTCTTCGTAATAAATAAATAAAAAAAATTCTATATATCTATGGGACAGTAATCTATAAAACACTGAAAGTGAAACCCAAAGCTCTAAGAGCATCCCATGTCCCACACACATATTCTGCCACTCACCAAAACAGTTTTCAGCTCCACCATAAAGCTGACAAGGTCTGGGCAGCTGTGCAGCCTCTGGAGGAGAGAGGATTAGGTGATTTTCTGCAACTTCTGGTGCTTCAGCCCAACTGTTTTTCTGGTATTGTCAAACCAAACATAAAAAAACCCCAAGTGCATTCCACATGTTTAAATTTTCCAGTTACAGAAGAGAAGTTCCAGGAAACTTTACTGAGAATGAAACATCCCCGGGCAGCACTCATTTATGGATTTATTGAGATACAGTGTCTCAAGCAGCACCTGAGGCAAAGGCTCCTCCTTGGAAACAAAGTATTCCTTGGGACTCCAAATATGCTGTATCCTCACTCCAAAGCTTCCTTTGGATACTGAGATGTAATTTAGATCCCAAGAATGAACTGAGTCTATTAATAATTAACGTGAATTCTCTCCTTTGCATTGTGAACAACTTGTAAAAAAGTAAACACATTTTTAAAAAAGACAAAATCTGTTCTACTTAAGAGACTAAAGAAAAATTTCAGTAAAATGTCATAAGTCAATTATTTAAAATTGTTATAGCCTGATCAATAAAAATAAATATTTACTAAATTCCATCAGTTTCTCATTATATTTACTTGTAAATCCTCATGCATTTAAAAATGAATCATGGCTCTAGGGTGAAAGGAAGGTTCTTCAACCCTTTTAGAATAGGTGTGCGAGCACAAGATGTCACAGAGTCATTACAAACAAATACTTAAGGCTGTTTAATAATAATAATAACAATAATAATAATATTTAAATAAGTGGTTTTAAACTTGTATACCTGCTTCAAAATGTGCCGGTAGCCGTGCAGGATCCTCTTCAGCCGCCAGCTGCACTCTATCCTGGACAAACAGAGTTTGTGCACATTTCAAACTCACACTACATCATCTTTCAAAGGCAGAAAGCCTTCTAAACACAACAGCTTTTCTTGGAGAAAAACAAAGGAAGGAAACAATACTTCAAAACTCTGTTAAAAGTTACTCAAAACTTCCAAATGTCACCATGCCAAAGCCCATTAAAAATTAAGCACCAATCTGCAAAAGCCTGCTCTGTGCTGAAAACAAAAACATCATTCTTGCAAGCGAGTGTAACTTCATAAAACACACTAATATTTAAAAGTGATAACCTGCAAATGTCAAAGTTACTTGTAATGCAGTTTTAATTACCCAGCCTAGAATGCAATAAAGCCATGGAATGCCACATCTGCTCCCAGTTTGGGGCTGGCCCAGGCAGAGCTGTGGAATGCAAAGTTAAAGCTCATCCATGGAGATGGATTTGCCTCTTTCAACCCACTTCCCCCAGACTGCTGGGATAAACACAGAAATGAGAACAGGGCTTCTAAAGAAAGTTGGGTCACACCAATTAATAGAAACAGCAAACAGAAAAGAAAGTTAAAAAGCTCTATTAACCATCACTGCTTAAATTGCTTACATAATTGCTTAAATTTACAACTTTGCACTGAATTAGCTGTTTCCCAAATGGTGACATAGAAATGATCTATAAATACAAATTATATAAAAAAATATATTTTTTCCCAAGTACATTGCTTCATATATGTAAATACAACCAATTAATTACAACATGTTTCAAAGTTAATTAACAACAAAATATTTTGATATAGGCAATGCTTATTGTCAGCATTTAGTAACACTGATGTTGTGCAATTTTTCAGCAAGGTTAAGCTGAAACCAGTGAGAATTAATTAATAACACTGATATTGGAAAAAAAATAACTCATTTTCATATCCATTACTGCTTTTATCAAAATTAACTTTGTTACATCACACATAGAAATTACTAGCATAAATTCTCTTACCTGGCATTTTTCAATTGCAAATCTACTGGTAGCAGTATCCTGATGTGGAAGTTTCTACCCTTGAAAAGAAGTATTTAGTTAATAGGAAGGTCAGAAAAGAAAAATATTAGACACTTGTGGGAATGATTCCCCATCAGATCAGCTACTAAGAAAGAAAATTTGTCTTTTCTGTCTTTCAGGAATATTATTCAGAATCTCTTTCCTTAGGGATAAAAAGCAGTATGAGTGACAGGCACAAATAATGTTGATTTTAATTCTTAAGCTGAAGTACTCTTGACCTTTAATTCACAATATTCAGTAAAAACTCTGTAGTACATCACTTTTCATAAAGCAAACATAACACCTTTCAGGAGAAAAATAAACCTTACCCAAATCTGGACAAGACAAAAACATATAATTTAATCCAAAACATGCTACTGTACATGAAAGTTTGTCTCCAACTCCAGTAAGACAAAACAGATGCTTATCATAAAAGCAACTACACTAAAAAGAACCTTGGGCACTGATCCACAGCACATTTCAGCAGAGTTTTACAAACTGTAAACAAAAGCAGCCCCAAGTACATAAATTTAATTTTATTCTTGTTAGTGCAATCCACATGAGGCAACTTCTAAATGCCCCCTACTTGTATTTTCAGTCCTTATTGAGGTTCTCCTTCTACTTTCTTAATAAAACTGAAATAAAGTCGGTGAAGCCTCGAAGCAAAGGGGGCAAATAACTTATCTTAAAACTTTTATTCCAGACCCTACCCCAGCTCAGGACACCTTGAAGTTGGGGGTACTGGGTCCCCAGCACAAGCAAGGCATGGACATGCTGGAGTTAATCCAGGGAGGGTGTCCAAGGGCTCAAAGCATCTCTCATGCCAGGAGAGCCTGAGGGAGCTTGGACTATTTAACCTGGAGAAAAGAGGGATCATGGATGGCTACAGAAGGTACAGCCAGTTCTGAGAGACACACACTGACAGGTGACAGAAATACAGGAAATATCATCTAAACGGAATGGAAAAAAACCCTTAAATAGTTAAGGGGGGATCAGAAACTGCAAGAAGCCATCTAAGAGGTTGCACACTCTTGGTCGGAGCTATTCACAACGCGGCTGCAAATGGTCTGAAGCAACCACTTAAGGCAGAGGACCTCCAGACGTTTCTTTCAATCTCAGTGTCAATTACATTTTTGACAATGCTAGTGGACACAGCCCACGTCTTTTGCCATCTACTTAGAGGAGTAAAGCCCCACGCTATTTCTAAATTAAAATGCACCCGTTCAGAGCTCTGTGTATGTGATATTTTAAGGAGCCACAGCTGCACAGTGTCAGTGCAGGCAAAGCCGGGCTCCTCACGCTGCCTCAGGCGCTGCTCTGCCCCTGCACCGCGCTTTCCACATCCCGAAGGACGATGCAGCCGCTTCAGCTGAAGCCTCAAAAGTAAATGAAAGGAAAACACCCACCATCAGTCATTTATGTCAACTTTTACCACAGGCCATGAACGCGGGCACATTCAGCCTTGCCCCAAAACCACTTTTGTCAGCACAACTAACCCAGCCCAGAAGGCAGCAGGAAGCCATTCCCGGGGCAAACCCGCGGGACGGCGGCGGGAAACGGCACTCCCCAATTCACATTGCCGGCGGCTCAGTCAGGAACCCCGGCAGGGTTGAACCCCTCAGAGCCGGCAGGGCGGGAAGCGCTTCCCCCTCAGAGCCAGGCGCGGCACGGCGGGAAGCGGTCTCCCTCCCAAGACCCAGCAGAGCGGGAAGCACCCCCCCCTCCACCTCGGAGTAAGGCCCGCCGGCCAAGCGACGCCCGGGCCGCGGTACCTGGGCCGTGACAAAGCCCTCGTAGGCGGTGCCGTGGCGGTCCTGCGGCAGCAGCAGCGGGCATTGCCGGAGCAGAGCCCGCGGCCCGGCCATGTTCCCGCCCGGCGCCGCCGCCGTTCGAACACGAGGCCCCGCCCCAGCCCGCGGGCGGCGCACGCGCCTGAGGGGAAGGGAGGCAAGGGGCGGGCGCGTGAGGGGCGGCGCGCCACGCTGAGGGGAGCGCACCTGAGGACAGGGGCGTGCCGCTGAGGGGAGCGCACCTGAGGGGACGAGCGTGTCACTGAGGGGAGGAGCGCACCTAAGACGAGAGCACCCGAGGAGAAGAGCACACCTGAGGGGGGAGTACACCTCAGAGGAGGGTTGTGTCGCTGAAGGGAGCACACCTGAGGAGGGGGGAGCGTACCTGAAGGGTGAGGTGCCGCTGAGGGGAGCGCACCTGAGGGGGAGCACACGTGAGGTGAGGGTTGTGCCGCTAAGAGAAGTACCCCTGAGGGGACGAACACACCTGAGGGGACAAGCGTGTCTCTGAGGGGAGGAGCGCACCTGAGAGGAGAGGAGCACACCTGAGAGGAGGATTGTGTGGCTGAGGGGAGTACACCTAAGAAAGGGGAAACTCACCTGAGGGGGAAATACACCTGAGGTGAGGGTTGTGTCGCTGAGGGGAGTACACCTGAGGGGGGGAACACACTTGAGGGGACAAGCGTGTCACTGAGGAGAGGAGCGCACCTGAAAGGAGGTTTGCGTAGCTGAGGGGAGTACAGGTGAGGAGGGGGGAGCGTACATGAGGGGTGAGGTGCCACTGAGGGGAGCGCACCTGAGGGGGAGCACACCTGAGGTGAGGGTTGTGCCGCTGAGGGGAGTACCACACCTGAGGGGACAAGCGTGTCACTAAGGGGAGGAGCGCACCTGAGAGTAGGATTGTGTCGCTGAGGGGAGCACAGCTGAGGGGGAGCACACCTGAGGGAAAAGCACACCTGAGGTGAGGGTTGTGTCGCTGAGGGGAGCACAGCTGAGGAGGGGGGAGCGTACCTGAGGGGTGAGGTGCGTGTCACTGAGGGGAGCGCACCTGAGGGGGGGAACACACCTGAGGGGACAGGCGTGTCAATGAGGGGAGGAGAGCACCTTAAAGGAGGGTTGTATGCGCTCTGAGGGGAGCGTCCCTGAGGGGGGAGCACACCTGAGGGAAAAGCACACCTGAGGTGAGGGTTGTGTGGCTGAAGGGAGTACACCTGAGGGGACAAGCGTGTGACTGAGGGGAGGAGCACACCTGAGGTGAGGGTTGTGTCGCTGAGGGGAGCACACCTGAGGAGGGGGGAGCTCACCGGAGGGGGGAGCACACCTGAGGGAAGGAACGCACTCGAGGGGTGAGGTTCGTGCCACTGAGGGGAGCGCACCTGAGGGGAGAGACAAACACCTGAGGGGAGAAGCGCACCCTCAGGGGAGGCGCGTGCGGGAAACTCTGAGGGAGAGCCCCCGCGGCTTCCAGAGCTCCTGAGGGGCAGCTTCCAGAATCCCGAGGAGCAGCCCTGTTTTCTCCCACAGCAAGGACGGGCTCCTGCTACTTTGAGGAGCGTCTTTTCCAGAGTGCTGAAGGAGCACCGCTGCCCTAGAGCAGAGCCGGGAGTTCCTCGCTATTTAGCACATCCTGAAGGAACTGGATTAAGTAAGGACTAGCTGTTAAGTAAGGATTAATATTATGTAAGGGTCATAGTAAAGGTCATTGATATTAAGTAAAGGTCAGCTGACTGGGTCATGGAGATTTTTGTGCCACCCAGGACAAGGGGTTATTCGATTTATGCATTTTTTTTTTTTAGGGGTCAACATTTCCTACCATAACGCTTTTAGGGTCACAATAGCTCTTCTGCCCTCTCACACAGGTACTGGGATAAAAACCTTCCTCTCCTTTCTGGGTGGGTTGCTGCCAGAACCTGGCAGCCACAATATGTGGGAAAGCCTGAGGAGAGAAAACATTGGGGTTTTTGCATGTGTTTTGGAAGGCATTGAAACTTCGCACATCACTGAGGCTGAGCATCATGCAAGAGTCCATTTCCACACAAATAGGCATGTTTAAGAAAGAAAACACTGATTTTTGCCTAATTAGATCATGGCAAGATTTTCAGGAATATGTGCTACTAAATATATATTCTCACCAGTGTTTCACTTTTTTTATACCTTGGAAGTATCACTGGTGATTTCCACACTTCCAGCAAACTATCAGTGCATCCGAGAAAGAAAGATTCGGTTCTGTGTAACAATGTTGCTTTACTCACCCTTTTCTGCTCCAGAAAACCTCGGACAAGATCGTTACCAAGGCAAGAAACATTTTCTAAACATATGCACTATCAGGTTCAAATACCACGGTGTTCAGCTCTTGTGTAGTTTGCTCCCCTGAAGCTGTTCCTGTGCATTTCACTACTCAGCATGGCTCACCACAAGCAGTTAATCCAGTGTTTCATAGCAATTTGTATCCCTCGTGTTATCTATTAATTTAATTTCTACCAAAACATTTCTGCTCTTGAGCTGTTTGCTCTCAGTATGCATGGCACTAGAAATTACCTTATTTAATTGTGAAGTAGCTCTGTACTTTACCAGGTCCACTGATCATTTCTTAATTGCATCAAATGCAAAACTGAAGGCAGGGGGTTTTTTCTTCTTTTTTTGGCCATGCTTATCTGAATCTCTGGCATTAAAAAAATGTCAAGTCCCTTTAGCCAAGTGCATTTATAGAGTAATGCATCTAAATAAAAATACCGTAAGATCAGAAGCATAAAATATTCTACTACTGGAGTCCAGAAAACATTAATCATTATCTTACACTGCATATGCTGCACACTTTGAAACTTTGTAAAAAAAATGCAATTACTTGAAGCATCATGTTACTTTCAGCTGGCATGCAGACCAGCATTTTTGAAGCAGAAAAATTGAAAAACAAGATCAGTGAGAAGTTGGACAGCACTGCTCCTCAAGGAAAGGGAGCACTGATCTGATCTTTCAGCCACAGGCCACATAGACCAATTTAATTACAATTATTGTTTGCCCGAAGAATCATAATGGAGTATGTTATTAATTACTTGTCCACTCAAATATCATATTCAGCCAGTTAAGCCATCAATAAAATCATGGCTCCAGTGGCAAAACAAGCAGTGTACAGAGCTAACATTTGAAAGCACCAGTTTCTGGGCTAAATTTTGTTAGTTAAGTCATCCCACAAACAGTCAGAAAGAAAGTGCATTCATCAGTCAGAATGCACATGGAACCGCATTGAAATAATGGGGATTTTTTAAAAGCTGATTTTTTTATTTATTTAAGGATGTTATGAAAGGCAAGAAAATAACAGTGCATTGTTCTCCAGCATTAGTGTCTCCAACAAAAAACAATCCATTTAAACCCATGCAAAATGGCTAATACTGTTATTGCTGTCCCTTTTCATAACTCAGTGTCATTTTATTCATCTCACCCCTAAGAAATGACCTTTTCTGTGCACATCCCCACCTTTTCCCACAAATCCCCTGAGTGACAGAATCTCATCCTAATCCCATTTCCATTTAGATGTTACAGGAAAGCATTGTAGACCTTGGAGGCAATAAGTAATCATAATGGAAAGATAATAATATGTTTATGAAATCTGGATTTTAGAATAGTAAATTGAAAAATTACAATAGTATTTCAAGCCACTGAAGGTCAATGTTACTAAGAGCAAAAAGCCATCGATCAAGTGTTCTCAAACTTTTCTAGTTTAGATTATTTCTTGATACAAAGCATCTCTGTTTCAGAGAGCAGCACCTCTCTCCTGAGGTGATTCCTCATCTACCTAGCAGTCACACAATCTGGTGTTATAAACAGGATTTAATACATTTTCCTACAAACAACTCTTTTTTTTAGTATGGCTTTATCTTTTAAGCAGACCTAAAAAAGAGAGAACAACTTCCCAGGCCTCTCCAAAGTGCACTATAGAACCCAGTTTAAAAATTCCAGCCCTTATTAATTCCTAAGGGTAAAAAAGAATATGTTAGAACTCATAACTAAATATACCACAGTACTTTGAGTACTGTGTAGTTGTAGGCTTTTAAAATAAAGGTAAATTTGCTTCCTTGTGTCTAAAAGCTACAAAGTTGTACATATAGAAAACCACTGAAACTTGACTAAAGTACTAGACAAAAAAAGACCCAAAACAACAACAAACAACCAAAAAAGAAACAACACTCCAGCCTTGTCCTCAGCTAGTGAAGGAGTTTTCCTCTGTTCAGTTTTCCACTGTTTTAAAGCACACCTCAGATTCACCAAGAGCCATTTTTGGGACTCTCTGAAGTTTTCTGTCAATAAAGCAGCAGACCATGGTTGTTACCTGGAAAGGGTTTTATTGGACTGCTGCTCCCCCTGAAAGGCTCCCTGCTGCTGTCAAGGACCCTTGTGCTCTCCCCTTCCCCTGTTCCTGGCATTCCTGGCCCTGCAGCCTCTTCTCCCTCATGCCAGCTCTGGTTCCCAAGCAATGCCCTTGTACAATGGGCCAGTTTGGTCACTGACCAAGAGCTAATGTGGTTGTTTTTAATTCTTTTTAAACTGTCCTGGTGTGCTGGAGCTGTGACAGAGGCACTAGAGATGACACGAAGAAAGCATCAGGAGGGCACATCCACCAGCCAAACCACCCTTTTTGGAAGCAAGATGTTAGATCAGACAGTGGAAGAGCACACAGGTGAGAACCACCAGGCTTCCCCTTCTACCACCATCCTCCCAGGCCACAACCTCTTAGTGGCACAGTTTCCACAGACACTTCTTCCTTTGCCTATTCCTGGAGTGACAGGAAAAGGGAGAATGGCTTCAACGTGAGACAGAGGGGGTTTGGATTAAGTGTTAGGAAGAAATTATTCCCTGTGAGGGTAATGAGGCCCAGGCACAGGTTGCCCAGAAAACTGTGGCTGCCCCACCCCTGGAATTGTTCAAGACCAGGTTGGACAAAGCTTGGAACAACCTGAGATAGTGGAAGGGGTGCCTACTCATGACAGGTTTTGGAACTAGGTGGTATTTAAGGTCCCTTCCAACCCAAACCATTCTGTAATCCTATTTGCATAGAGTTGTCTTACACTCTATGTTTA